GAAATTTGCATGTTGTAAAACCCACAAACAACAAAAGGTAATTAAGCTGAATTGGCTCAAAGGCTTTCCAAGAATTCCAAAGCTAAAGGCAAAAGAAAGTACAATCAGACTATTAGAAACACTTGCAAAATAGACGCATACTATGCTTTTTCTTAATTGTAAATAATTCAACCATAGCATAATTAAATATTACCTAAGTGATTTTAGCTGCTCTATAAGACCCTCCATCACAGCTTCTAAATCAATGCGTGAAGTTGAGGACACTTTAAGACGCCTGAAGCCCTCAAACAGGTGAGAGGCCTTTTCTTGTGGAGTAAGCAGCAGAGAGGCCATCTGAGGGGAATGCTGGGTTATGATTTTGTTCAGGGCCAGGCGCCGATTTGACTTCCTGGGTTAAAAGTCAGGAGACAGAGAGCGAGAGTATGAAAGAGAAGACGGGCCAGTAAAAGCATAAATCTTCACTTGAAGTTGCTTGCACACAGAAGTTTAACACGTTACTAGCAACATATCACAAAGAGGTAAGACATACCTTCTAAAACCTTCTAAAATCATACATGCATAAATAACAGGGCGTTTTTCAAGCAAATTTAGCATAAATGTGTCTCAAATAATTTCTATATGTTTGACACTTATGTAGAGACACTGAGGTAGAGGAAACACACTAATGTCATCATGAGAACCATATATGAAACTCTTGGAACTGCAGTTGGTGGCTACTAATTTTCAATTCCATAATATTCAAAGGCCTCTAAAAGTTTTACATTTTTCATGAATCACATATAGTCAAATGGCCACATACCTCGTATAGTTATATGTTACAGCGAGTGGATGACACCTTGATCCTGCAGACATAAATCAGACTTATTATTTCCTCAAACATGCTCTCATTCATCACACTGTTCATTAATGCAGTGAAACACACATGATTGATCTCGCAGGTATGGTATCAATAATAGCTGTTCTGACCTGTCAAAAGCCATATGGTGCTGTTGAGGCAGATCTATCCCCAGCAGCAGCCTGAAGTGACAGAGGGCAAGCACACGTTAGCACACGTTTCTCCATGCATCTGCCTCTCAGTGTCCTCTCTGAAAGAGCAGCAAGGTTAAGGATGACATGCTGTTAATGCAATAGGTGCATCTGCCTCTCTCCTCTCTGAAAGAGCAGCAAGGTTAAGGATGACATGCTGTTAATGCAATAGTCACAGATTAATACGATTAAAAAGCTGTTAGGTTATTGAATAGGGTACATACACATCTTAATTGTGTCATTTTAGTAATTGGGCACTGCTCCTTTAATAATTTCATGCTTTTTTATGACTTAATTCATGCCCGGCTCCAAATTCAAACTCACCCCATGAGAGACTTCGGTCTTTCCTCCAGAGGTTTTTTTTTTTTTTCAAAGTAGCAAGAAAACCCATCCAGCTCTTTGCTCCTGCAAATATTTTGGCAAAATATATTTGGAATCATAGAGCTGCACTAATATAACTGCAACTAAAATTTACTTTTAATTTAAGGATGACTAAGAAGTTAATATATTAGACAATAAATAGGAATAAATCAGTAAAACAAGTGAAAATGAAGAGCAATTAGTATGAAGATATAAAAGTCATCCTCAAATAAAATACATAGTAAAATAAAATAGAATAAAAATTAAAATGAAACTTACTTTAGCAGAGATAGAAAACGAAGAGGAATGGGAAGCCTGTCATTTTCCTGTAGCAAACAGACTGCTGCCACTGCAACTCATTAAATGTATATTAAATCATCCTGGTTATGGGAAAAAGACCATTTTTCATGGCTCATATTGTTTTCATTATGTAGCAAAGTATACGGACCTACATTTAACATCCTGAATTGTGACACATTCCTTTTGTAAGCATTTTATTGAGGTCTTGAAGGCATTCAATTGAGCGGGTCTCTCAGTACTCCTTTGAAAAATGAAACTGAGTAAATCAACTGCTCAGAATAATACATCAAAGTCCTGCATAATGACCACCATGCCAGGAGAATGAAGTTATTAAGCCATAATTATTTCCTGATGTCTGCCAACCATATGAGCTATAATGTTAGAAAACAGAATACTTTTGCCACTTCTACAGATGCTTTCTGAACTGCTCTTGCTATGCGGATGGGGTTTTTTTTGTGTGTGTGTGTGGGGGGGGGGTTCTTCTTTTTGTTTTCCATTTTTTCTTTGGCTTCGAAATTACAAACAAATCAAACCTAAAGAAAAAAAAACCACGCAAAACCATAGATTGTTACAAAACATTATAATAAAATACCAGTTAATAAGACAATTTAAAAAATTTTACCTTATACATTTCCAGTCCCAACGCCCAGAGGAAATCATCTTTGCCTGTCAAGAAATTATTAGGGGGAAATGGGTAAGACCTTATTTTTCTCTCTTGACCATAATAATCTCTAGCTCTTTTTAAAGTTAGCTGAGCTAATTATTTACAATAATAAAAAAGAATAATTTATTATAATAAAGTGTTTTTAAAGATATATATCTATGACTGACATAATGTTTGATTTGTCTGTCACGATTACTCCGTTTTAATAATAATGTAACTTTACATAAATTATTTGGTTTTGTAGGGTCGAGATCAAGCTATTCATACTAACGATTCAAAAAGTTACATTAAATCCTAACTAAACCACATTGGTGAAAGTACACCTAGACATGTATGAAGATATTAAATACAAATAGTTTTTTTTTTGTTTTATTGTATTTCATTTTTATTGTTTCAATTTTGTATTGTGTTTTTATAAAGCCACAATTTTGTTATAATACTGTTTTGATTTTTTTTTTATTCCAATAGAATCATATTGACCAATATAATGCCAATATGTAGCCTATTAAAACCTATTAGGGACAGCTTGATCCACAAACATCATAATAATTATTAACTGTAATATTTTTATTGTTGTTATTATCATTTAGCAAAAGCACAAAATGTAGCTATTGTCGCCGTATTTTCATTTATAGATAATAACAAGTGAAATTGCAATGATATTTTGACCACTGGACTAGGAAATGAGAAATGTCTCCAACGTTTCCAGTGTTTTCATATAATCAAACTATTTTTGTGAAATATCGCTAGTGCAAACGGCTGCTTGTTCTAAAACATATTCGGTCTGTTCATATTCATAGTACTGAAATGGTTTTGTAGAACAGTCTTCCTGACCATATTAGCATGAATTCCTACCGTTTCAGTCAGCGATTCTGCCAAAGCTCACTCAAAATAGATTCACTGTACTAGTAGGCTACTGTATTCTCTGTTGAAAAAAAAATTTATTCTTTTCAAAATGTAGGATTAGTAAAGAGGTAAAACTGAAATTATATGGTCAAGATATAGAAAGAGTATCATGTTTAAAATTTTTGGGTATATGGTTTGATGAAAAACTCGCGTTTAAAATACACATAAAAAAATTGGCTCTAAGAAGTATATATACGGGATTGATACGATCTGTATTTGATTATGGGAGTATAGTGTATCAATCTGCTGCTATAGGCTACTCTAAACTCCGGAACTGGGAGCGTCCACGGTATCCTAGCGACCATAGACATGTCTATGCTAGCGACCATAGACATAATAAATGCCTAGACGCCTCATTGGCCGCTTTGAGCCGTTGCTGCGATACGTCAACGCGTCCGCCATGTTTGTGAGGGCAAGACTGCCTTAAAAATAAATGGAGGTAAACGGAGGAGCTGCGGGTTTTCTGGATAAAAACACGATAACGTTTACATTTATCAACCGATTTCAGAGGCTTCTGATCTACATGGAGTTAAAAATAACTCTGCCTCCAGTTATTTAGTTAGGTTTGGAAAATAAATTTTCGTAAGAAATTAGGAGTCTAGGTATTTATTATGTCTATGCTAGCGACATCCACAAAAGGAAGGCTGCTCCGCTTCGGAAACGGAAGCGCGAGTACTACGTGTGACGTTATGTGGGAAACCACGCCCACTGCGCACAAACTCTTCCTGATATGAAACCGATGCATGTGAGCAAAGACTTTGAAAGGGACTTTGATGTTGAAGCTGTTATTCGGGTGGTTACTGAATTGAAAATGTGAGGTAACAAATTTGAAATATTATCAAACATTTACAGTGACTGCTGCAGATTCCTATTAAATGTAGATTCATTTATTTTGCCTGACTATGCTCAGTGCTTTTTTTAAAGACCGGTGAATTGTATCGTGCACTGCCTTGAAAGTGACAAAGTTATTTGTTTGTTCAACATTTATGTTTGATTTCTAGTGTTTTCTTATAAAGCACGTCGCTGCTGCAAAGAATGCAGCCCAAACTGCTGTACAAAACAATAATAAAACCAACAATAACAATAAAACAGAACTACATAAAAGACCAACATTTAGTTCTCTCCGTTGGCCGGTGATAGTCCGTTGTTAGAGGATACATTTATTGATATTGTGACGATTCAAAGATGACATGATATATGCATTGTCATTGTGATTATGCAAGTTGATCAGGTGCTAAAAAAAATTAGACTACTTACAACACAGACGCAAATAAATAAGTGTGTGTGTGTGTGTGTGTGTGTGTGTGTGTGTGTGTGTGTGTGTGTAATCCCAACAGTATGCAACATTATTAACACATTATGTGTTATTATTTCATATAGTCTTGATGCTATTTTCTTTATCTTGCATAGTTTTGTTCATGCTTTTGAGGATAAGTGCATGTCATGCAACTGTTTAACTTGACAGATGAATCTGATAAAATAAATATGGGCCACAGTAGCTTTAGTAGATCAACAATGATGTCAACAATAGAACTGATTTGGAAAGCGTTTTCTTCATATTTTTTAAATGCTGAGCAGCCTATTTATTTTGCTTTCCTAACTATGCATAATTATGTGCTTCGTTGCATTTTATCATTTGTACATAGCAACTGTCTGCTTCCCTGAAGAGAAGAGAAGAGAAGAGAAGAGAAGAGAAGAGAAGAGAAGAGAAGAGAAGATGTCGGCCCAGGCAAACCGAGAAGAGATGTCTGCCCAGGAAAACCGAGTGATGGCTTTGTCCGAGTGGGAGGACAGGTGGCAGGCAGGAAAAACTGGTTTTCACAGATCTGAAGTGCACAAGTAATCACACATTGAATCACACATCACACTTATTTCTGTATAGATTGTTTCAAAGCAGCTTCACAGTGATAAACAGAAAAATAACAGAATCAGTGATGCAAACTTAATCAAATATGAGACATTTAAATTCCTCTGTAAAGCTCTAAACATAAAATAGTGTCATTATTCAACTCAACTGTTGATTCAGTTCAATAACAGTAATGATGTTGCAAAATGCTATGCTATACTATCATTAATCATGCATACTAACACATCATATACTGTAGCTCCATGATTTAGACACCATCCTGTGTTGCTTATGAATAATGATCCTTTTGAATTTTCCATAAATGTGTAGAGGAACCGCACAGTGTTATCAATTTATTATTTTACTTTAAATGTCTTGCTTCAATTGTTTCAGTTTCCTATTTTTTGTACCTTTTTGGTAGTTTGCTGGAAAGCAACTTGGACAAAGTCGTATGTGGACGAAATGAGGTTCGATTCTTCTTCCCACTATGCGGAAAAGCTATAGACATGAAATGGTATGAGGTGAAAGGGATACTCCACCCCAAAATGAAAATTTTGTCATTAATCACTTACCCCCATGTCGTTCCAAACCCGTAAAAGCTTCGTTCGTCTTCGGAACACAATTTAAGATATTTTGGATTAAAACCAGGAGGCTTGTGACTGTCCGAATGACTGCCAAGTAAATTACACTGTCAAGGTTCAGAAAAGTATGAAAGACATCGTCAGAATAGTCCATCTGCCATCAGTGGTTCAACCGTAATGTTATGAAGCGACGAGAATACTTTTTGTGTCTCTCCGCATCACCGTAGCGCCATTTTGGAGAATATCTGCTGAACGCAAGCAGCGTACGCTATTTTGTGTCAGCCGCGCCACAAGGATGCGCTGTTTTCATTCAAATCAAAGCGTAAATACACGTAGAAAACGTATCCTTGTGTCACACAAGGATAAGTTTTCTACGTGTATTTACGCTTTGATTTGAATGAAAACAGCGCATCCTTGTGGCGCGGCTGACACAAAATAGCGTACGCTGCTTGCGTTCAGTGGATATTCTCTAAAATGGCACTACGGTGATGCGGAGAGACACAGAGACGAATTGTTGAATAAAGTCGTATTTTTGTTTTCTTCGCGTACAAAAAGTACTCTTGTCGCTTCATAACGTTACAGTTGAAGCACTGATGGCAGATGGACTACTCTGACGATGTCTTTCATACTTTTCTGAACCTTGACAGTGTAATTTACTTGGCAGTCAATCGGACAGTCACAAGCCTCCCGGTTTTCATCCAAAATATATTAAATTGTGTTCCGAAGACAAACGAAGCTTTTAGGGGTTTGGAACGACATGGGGGTAAGTGATTAATGACAAAATTTTCATTTTGGGGTGAAGTATCCCTTTAATGTGTTAATGAGTAATATTTAAAATCTTCCCAGCACTTCCATAAAATGTTCAAAAAAATGTTTCTCAGGTTGGCTGATATGGGTCACACAGTTGTTGGAGTTGAAATTTCTGAAAAAGGAATCAAACAATTCTTTGCAGAGCAAAATCTTGCTTTTAATGAAGAACCAGTACCAGCCATTCCTGGAGCAAAGGTTTTCAAGGTATCTGAAGATCCTGCATTTGTCATCCGTACTGATTGCTAGGCACAAACCAATGATAAAATTAGCACTAAAGGATTATAGTGCCCATAAATCATGCACTGAGTTATTATCCACCTTGTTTTGCAACGTGGAAGTAAGACATTTGAATGTGCAAGACTTCTGATTAATTAACTGCTATAATAAAATGTACAGCTAAAATAACTGGAAATGAATGAGGTTAAGCATAAGGTAGATGCACTGTTATATGTATTGTTATAATGACATTTTCTGTGTCTTCACGGCTTCCTCCGATTAGATTAATACAGACGGATGCCCCTCAGTTTAATACACTCCCACTGTGAGATGGTCACAATGCTTTAGCTTTCTTTAATGGAAGTAGACAGCGTGATGTTTTTGTGTCATGCCCACTCACCTAATGCATTTTCCTTGTTCTCAGAGTACAGATGGAACGATCTCCATCTATCAGTGTGATTTATACAAGTTCTCCAGGTACATTTTATACTTTCTAATTTTAGATGATAAAACATGTCACATGAAATGCATTTAAATGCCTCTCTGTCTTTTTGGTCTCTGTCCATATATATAGTACCGTTGGAGGAAAGTTTGGAGGAATTTGGGACAGAGGAGCGCTGGTGGCTATAAACCCATGTGACAGGCAAAAGTAAGTATTAAATAAATAAACATTTTATGTTCTTTTATTTAATTATTATTTATTTAAGTGGGATTGTATGTAAATACATATTCTCTTCATCCCCAAGGTATGCTACTCTCCTTATGTCCTTAATGAACAATGACTGCAGATATCTTGTGGACACACTGGAATATAATCCTGAGCTGTATAAAGGTAACGTTAAGGAGGAAAACGAATGGAATAATTCATCATTATTATTATTATTATTATTAGTGATAATGATTATAAAGCATATGTGTCTTGTCTTTAGTGTTTGATATTTGTTTGTTAAGGAGGAAAACGAATGGAATAATTCATCATTATTATTATTATTATTAGTGATAATGATTATAAAGCATATGTGTCTTGTCTTTAGTGTTTGATATTTGTTGCCATATTTGACATACAGGTCCACCATTTTTTGTATCAGAAGAGGATGTAAAAAATGTATTTGGTGAGTTTTGGTCACTGTTCTGACATGTCATCTTACCTATTTTGTACCTAGATGTTTTCATCATTCATTATGTATTATAGAGCTTTTATTTCTAAATAGTTGTATCCAATAATCATGGCGATGTCTCATATTTCAGGAGGTGGATGTGACATTGAATTGCTAGAGTCTGTAGATGCCTTTGAGAAAAAGCACAAATCATGGGGACTGGATTCACTGACAGAGAAAATGTACCTTCTCACTCCAAAAGCCCAATGATCAATCTTCAAATCTACTGGAGGGCAATTAAAAAGTAAAAATTACTTAATAATGCAATAGATAATTGGCAAAAATAACATAGGGTTAATAAAATATCATTTGCATTTTTCTATTTTGATAACGGTGGACTGCAAGTTGTTGATTCAGTATTTGAATGTAATGCAAAATATTTTAATAAATTCCAATTTTTTTTTAAATAGTTTATTTCTATTTCATAATGTGTATTTCATAACTGGTCACAAGTGATGTGAGCTCTTAGTTTGACCACAAGAGGGCAGTAGTTTGACAAAAGTCCGCACATAGTGACATTTTAAAAATTATTTGCACCTGCGAGTTCTAATTCAGCACCGCTACTGAATTTACTGCGCGAATAGTGTAGAGATTTTCAAACGAATGAAGCTCATAAGCCGATTCTTTTTATTGAAACATAAAAAAGGAAACAAAACGCCTTCCCGGACTCCAATTAATGTTTTTGACACTAAGAGATTTGATGTAATCAGTGGTATTTTATAATATATATATATATATATATATATATATATATAT